ATTCCTGCTTTCAAATGCCCCATCATTATCTTTCTAGGAAATGGGATCCTCTTCTGTCTTGACCAAAATAGCAAACAACCCACAAAACAAACAAAATGTAAATTCTCTCCTTTTAACAACTTCTGCAAGTGTTCTCCACTAATGACTTAGTTTTTCTTGGTTTTCAACAACCCTCTTTTCACCTCCCCTCCGAGAGCTTTCTATTGCTCTGTCATAACGTGAAATGCTGCTAACTCTAGCACCATTACTAGCAACCCTTGGAGATGGCACATTAGTACAGATAATGAAATGCAGCAGTGCCTTACACAGGCTGCAAAATCTGAACGTCCACCCCAGTCAAATACCAAGACTTCCAAACCCAAAAGAATCATCTGTGCCTCTTTCTTTCTAATCTACTTTACCACATAGTCATTCACTCTAAGAAATCTCCATCTAGACCTGATAATTATTTCAACCGTATCCACCTTATTTAAGTTATAAGCTCCCGAGGACACCACGTCCTTGACGTACCACTTGCGAAGTATCAAAGAGCAGGACATTTGCTATTCCTTTTCCCATTGCTCAAACCATTAGGCAGTTCAGCAAGTGGTAGAAAGGAAGAGAAAACATTACAGACATTTAAAACATTCATATACCAAGTGGAAAGAGGGTTTACTGCCAACATTCACTAACTACAGACACAGCATATCAAGTATGAAAATGCACACACAGGATACACCACTCCAAAAAACAGGGAAGATCCCTTTCTGGCATCAACCATACCTGCACACCAGGGTTGCGATGATGACACACCACGCCGTACAGCAGCAGTCAGCATTTAGATGTTCTTCACTCTTCCGATGGCGACAGCACAGCCAAAACGAGTAGAACAAGAGAAAGAGCAGGTCCAGAGCGAGGCAGGAAAGAGCGATGCCGCCCAACAGCAACAGGGCCTGCGGAAAACAGAGATGGATGTCACTTCTGGCCATGGCACAGCCATAGCAGGGGGTGTAATCAGCGCCCAGATGTTTAAGGGCTCTGCAATAAGACAGTGCTGAAGGGATACCTTGAAAACAAGTTGGTTTGTGATTTTTGTGTATTTTTAAAATATAAACAGGAAGTTTCTAGCCCCGCTTCCTGCTCTCTCTGCATCCCACTCAATGAAACCATGTTCTGTACCTAAGCAGTAAACAGCTGAGCCATTTTGTCTGTCCCAGTCTGCAAACAGCCTAAGTAAAGAGGGTTTCCTCTTTACTCCTGATCAGAGGTCAGCAGATTTAAAGGAGGAAAAAAAAGACTTCAGCTGGCTGCCTCTATCTGTACAGTTCTTTAATCTTCATGAATAAATATGCAGGCTTATTCATTAGAAATCTAAGGGCATGAGTGGGTTTGAAAGGGGGTGGAATTTGTTATACAGGCGTGAGATTGATTTTTTAAAAATTAATCCCCATGCAATGCTTCTGTTCAAGGCAGACCTAGAATAAATTCTAAACCCTTCCATATACCATCCATGTACATAGGTACAACAAATGTGGATGCTATAGACACACTGGCTTGGAGCTGTCACAAGCTGAGTTATTGCGTTATACCTATTTCTAGTCAGATGTTCCTGGGAGGAAAGAGAAAAAGTGTTTAACTCCATTCCAATTTCTTTTTATTCAGAAAATCCTGTCCAAAACTCAAAAATGCAAACCAATTTTGTTTTATATAATAAAAAAATATTTTAAAAATCCACTCTAACACCAAATCCAGCCCCACTTTCCCATGTGAATAAAGTATTTTACCTACAAGCTTTTTTGGATAAACCCTTGGTAGTGCTGACAAATACCAACTTAATAGAAATGACTTCAATATCTGGAAAGGGCCTAAGTCACCTACTGCTGCCCAAACATCGGGAAGGCAGATAAATCTGTATCAGCAAACTTAAAACAAAGGTTTGGGTGGGTTGTTTGGGTTTTTTTTAATCTTTATCTCTCTTCCTCCCCACACAGAAATTCCTTAAAGAACATTTATACGCTTCTTCCTGATTGAAACAATAACTTCCTCCTGGTCAAAAAAACAAAACAAAGAATGCTGCGATTAACATGAGATTCTGAACAAAACTGGTGACCGTTTCTAACGGGGTCTGGTAGTAACTTGCTCTTTGCAGGCTCTTCTTCCCTTTCTTTCCCCCCAGTCTGCTCCGTAGGTACTCCCAGCTCAGTTGTTATCCTGGCAAACTATACGAGCCACACAACATACTTTCCAGCCAAGCAAACGTCAGCGTGTACATACAGACCATAGGGCCCATCGCCATGCATAACGGGATTCACGCTAGTTAAACCTAACTGCTGCATCACAGATACTCCACGTAGCCACGTTCTATTTGCTTTCCCAGCCCTAAGAAACCCACCCAAAGCCCTCCAAGCGCACTGGGCTGGGGAGGGCTTACAGGTGCTGCTTTCCCAAACTAAACAGCAGAAGCTCGGTTGTAGAAAGTGAACTTTCTGATTTTTAAGTTGAGAAGGGTGGGGGTGGAAGGGAAAAGGCCCTATCCCCCTTTCCCATCATTACACCAGATGGTGTGCACACTGTTCCCGAGCAGAAAGGGGCCTTCCAGAGGGAAGCTGCGTTCAGAGCCCCACGTTCTCCCACTTCTGAAGGCTTGCCATGTACGAGCGCTCAATACTAATTCAACCAACACATTTGGCATACCAAAGCTCCTCAGGGATATTCTTTATTTTTTAAACATGTCAGGCTGTAACGCAAAGCTTTCCTGCACTGCTCGCCTGCACTTCTTTCTTCACACCCTCAACCTTCCTGCACATGCTAAAAGGCATTACTGCTGGAAAGACGAACCCAGCTGAAAACATCCTCCCAGCAACTCTTTATCAGCAAAAAAGTCACACTGCAGTGCCAGATGTAAGGGTACAGCCCCCATTAAAAGGAAAAAAAAAAAAAAGGAAATACTAAAAAGAAAAAAATAATTAAAGACTGCCACGCAGCAAGCAACCCGAAGTTCTCGCTTTGAAGGGACGCTCAATACATGCTTTAATTTATGCATCTGGCCAAAAGGACTTGGCTGGCCACCACACCACGATCTGTGTTTCATTTTCCAGAGAATATTTGTTTTCCATTAATAGATATGTGCCATGACAACAAGTGAAATCATCCAGCAGAGCAGTTATTAATCTTTCTGACTGATGAGTCAGTTTAGGACCCAGAGGCTGGCTGGCAGTGAAAGCCTGGTCACAACCAAAGATATGCCTGTGCTTGCTTGTCAGGATTAAATGACGGTATTTAAAAAAGCAGGGTTGAGGCTGGATAAACCCTCAGACACTCCATCCTGCAACAGTAAATCTGGGACTCGGTTATCCAAGGCCACGTTATCCCGAGTAAATGTAAAATTATGCACTGGGCCTTTTGCCACAAAAGAGCATCAATTCGTCTTTGAATATTTGCTGAGCTATCAGAACCTTTATAGCAAATGATGCATGAACTGCCCTTACAGGAAAAAACGGAGACAACTTGGAGGAGCAACATTTTACCACTGTGCTGACACTAATGGCAGAAGTGGAGACAGAGCAGTCCCTGAAAATGAGTGTAAATCCAAGCGGTATCAGCCAGACTGGCAGAAGACGAAGCTACGCTGTTCAGAAGCACTTTCAAAATAAAAGTTAATAGCTGTACACAGGGAATAACCACGAGCAGCATTACCAGCTCGGAAAGGCACTGCAAAACCTGAATATGCTCCATCTTGTGCAGGGATGGTGCTCGACAGCCTGCTGCAGTGTTAACAGCCTTTCTCAGCTCCAGCATGGTTGCCAGGATTCACGGTATTTACTCTCTCCATGGGAGTAAGAAGCCAAAAAGGCAGAAAACATCTAGGTCCCATGCACAGAGTTGGGACACAGGGCGCAGCAAAAATACCCGGGGCAGGTTAGCTCTGCCATGTGGTATGAGGGAACCCATAGGTGCTGATATTACACCTAAAGACATATATTTAGATCAGCCTTCGGTTAGCACAGTCCTTGGTCTCTGAGACCATGCCTTATGTTACTGGGGATCACTTAAACCAATACACAGCTTTGTCCACTGGATGAAAAGTCTCCAAACAGCCACTTTTAGCTTGCAAGTTCCAAACTGCGATCCACATCATTAGCTACCTGCATGTATCTGTGGACTGTGGTCCTGGAAGGTGAATTTTAGCTGCTGAAACTACACGTAAAGATGTACACTCCATCCTATCCTACATACTAGTCACAAAGAGAAGTAATCTACATAAGAACATGAGAAAAGGGATATACAAGATACCTTTGAATATATTTCCTTAGAAGGGAAAGCCTAAAAAAAGCCACAATGCCTTGTAATGTGGGAGGTACATGCCAGGTTGAATTCACGTTAAGTGTCAAGGTTCAGCACTGCCTTAAGTGCTGTGTGTTCCTCACTCAACCGTAGGAACGTTGGCTTAGGGACCCTTCCTTGGACCACCATGTCCCCTCTGCCATGAAGGTTACTTGGCACAGTAAGTCCTGGCAGCAGAATAGGTTTAGAAAGTCAATTCTGCATACAGACAGGCTTGAAATAATCCATGTGTTTATTAAGCACAAGTTTTACCAATCTCAATCTATCTGACTTTCAATTACACATTCTTTGGACCTTAACCGTACTAACGGCAGCATGGCATAGTGAGCAGCTCTTCACATGGAATAGATAATAGCTATTTCTGGATAGCACTGCTATTTTACTACTAATTAGAGAGTCCACTAAAACCTCTTTAAGAAAGCCGAAGCTTTCAGGTGGCTCCTGAAAAGCATGCAGTTTCATCTTTAGTCTTCCATCAATAATTTTAAAATTATTTCCTCTTAAAACTTCATAATTTCAACCCACAAGACAAAATAGCTACAGCTTTTGGATATCTCAGCAACGCAGCTGTCTTAATCATTGCCAGATTGAGAACTGTTTATAGTTTTACCTTAAAGTTAGCTTTTGCCAAAAGAAAGCTTTCCACTGAATCTGCAACTAATGTTCCTTCTGGATTTCCATGCAACGACTTGAGATTGTGATAATAAAGCAGAGAGAAGAGGTTAAAGGAGTGTGGGAAGAGAAAAACGTTCACCCAGAAGAACAAATGAAGTAAACTGGGCTGCTGCCAAAGGAGCACTCATCTCTATTTATTCCATGAAGGACGGAAGTCTTCTTAGCAAGAAAAGAAACTGCTGTGGGATATAGTGTCATGCCTACACTACTTCCTACACCATTTTTTTTTCAGATTTCAGGACATCTCTAAGCTTACGTACTCATAAATGATAAGTAATTATGTCCTACCAAACTATTTTTTTTTTTTCCCTTACACTGGCAACACCAGGAACACACTCTGACTCCCTCATCAACTTGTTCTGAACATGCTGTGTGTTCAGAGACTTGATTTTCATTTCTGAAAAATTCTGTACATGGTTTTTGTTGAGACACTTCAGTGTCTCAGGATATCATTCATTCCACGGCCTCCACAGAAGGATGCAGGCTTTGGTAGGGAATGCAGCCAACTGTGTATTGGCAAATATAATGTAGGGGGGAGGATGTGGAAACCACTGCTGATCTCAGCACTAAACCATCCATATCTCCTCTGCCCGGGGGACAGGCCTTCCCAGGCCAATTACTGTACTCGACACGGCAGAGGAGCAAGGCTGGGCAGGAAGTGTGCTGTGGAAGAGGTTTTCCCACGGTACGGAGATGTATTCTCCTTCATGAGGGATCCCTCAGCAGCATGGAAGAGCACCATGGAAACAGAGGACAGGTTCCATCGTCTCATCTCCTTATACAGACATCTTGCACAGAAAGCATGCTGTTAAAGGAGCACAGTAGATTTGGATATATACATATATATATACACACACACACACACACACACTCTCACACACACACATATATATCTATATATTTAGGGCAAGTCCACACTGGAGCAAGCAATATA